AGTAAAAATGACCACTAAAGTGCAGAAGTATTACTTTATACCCTGTTTGGAAGATTACACTGCATGTTTTCTTATTTTGTTTAGATTTCGAGTGGCTCTTTGTAGAAAATTGATTCTTGTGAAACCTTGTTAGAATGTTGTCACCTCATCAAAAACATACCTGAGTTGTGTTTTCTTTCATTCAGTCATAATTTGCACCAACAAATCTCAAAATGCTCTCTTCCACGTTGTGATGTGATGTTTGTGATGAGGAAACAGCATTATAACACACACATTACCGTAATATGGGTCTTTTATATCGTCTTTGAAGACATGCTTGATTTTCTAATTTTGCCAGTCTTCAAAACAATATTGGCTCACAATTTCAGATATCTCTTCTAGTTTCTGGATTTTTGTGGTAATAAACACATTATCATTTTGAAAATCATTTAAAAAACATTTGGAATATGTGGGCGTGTTTTAACGGGAACGTTAACCCTGTTTTGCGAAAGCACTTCTGGTAAGACATGGATTGTGTTGGTGGTTGTGTCTCTACCTGCTTGTGGGAGTGCATATTTCTATACTTCCATAAGACTACAGGCCTAAAACTACCTCCCTCTCTCCTCTCCTCTTCTCTCTTTTCTTCTCTTTGCCTCTCTCCTCTTCTCTTCCCTCTCTTCTCCTCTTTCCTTTCCTATCTCCTCTTCTCTCTCCTCTCCTCTCATCTCCCTCTTCTTCTCTCTCCTCTCCTTTCTCCTATCCTCTCCTCTCTTCTCTTTTCTTCTCTTCTGTCTTCTCCTCTCTCTTCTCCTCTCCTCTCCTCTTCTCTCTCCCCCTCTCCTCTTCTCTCTCCTTTCCATTCTCTTCTCTCCTCTCTTCTTCTCTCTCCTCTCCTCTCCTCACTCCTCTTCTCTCCTTTCTGCTCTGCTCTGTTTTCTCTCCACCATCCTCTCCTTTCCTCTCTCCTCTCCTCTTCTCTCTCCTCTCTGCTCTCCTCCCTTTTCTCTCCACTCTCCTTTCCTCTCTCTTCATCTCTCCTCGCTCCTCTCTCTCTCTCCTCTCCTCTCCTCTTTCCTGTCTTCTCCTCTCCTTCTCTCCTCTCTTCTCCTAACTCTTCTCTCCTTTCTAATCTCATCACTTCGCTCTCCTCTCTTCTCCTAACTCTTCTCTCCTTTCTAAACTTCTCTCTTCTCTCCCTTCTCCTCTTCTCTTCTTTAATCTCATCTTCTCTCCTCGCTTCTCTTTCTCTTGTCCTCTAACTTTTTACTACACACTGACACACTTCAGTGAGAGCAGACTGGGGCAGAACACTGAACAAACATGGGAGAGAGGGAAGGAGGGAGAGAGAGAGAGGGAGAGAGGGAGGGAGAGAGAGCCCGGGGGTGAATTCTTGGAATAAGTTTGGGCCTACTGTCAGAGGATTGGCACAAAAGCTCACATACAAAGGACACGTAGGAGAAACAACAGCTAGACGAACAAGTGAACTCAAACTAAGTCCATCCCAGCCCCGGGTCAGCAGAGATCATGAAACACAGCCCGTCAGCACCAGTCAATCAAACACTGAACTCACAGCTCACGTTGCACTATAAGCCTGGTAAAAATGCACTCAGACTTTACTAGGTCAAGATCCGAGAAGCCACAAAAGCCCTTTTCCTGCTCTTGTTGTGAAGATCATAATAGAATAAGAGAAGCGACTTGGAATACTGGAATACTGACCTACATTCTTCTACCTGTCCTAGTGTCAAGATAATAACATGTGAAGTTGGATTTTAGATATAATTTAGATAAATTCTTACTGTAAAAATGTGCAGTGTGTTCAGAAATGAAAAAGTTTTTTGGTCAATATCAAAATTGTTATTAAATTGTCAAAAATATCGTGAATATTGTTTGGAAGATACACAAAATCGAGCTCTTTCTTTAACCACCACTGAAAGACACTAGATATTTTTTCTTAAAGTGATAATATGGAACTTTCTGGGGGTGGAAAGTTATAGTGTGGAATATTATAGTCAAAGGAACAACATGGAAACAAGCAGGACACTAAACACCACTATAATGGGAAAAAAAGAAGAGAAAAACATGCTTTTATTTTAGTCTATTTTTGGTTTAAAAAAGTTACATAATGTAGTTTTGAAAGCTTTTTTGTCTGCTACATTTATTGTTTCTTAGATTTGTGTATGTGTGGATATTTTAAATTGAAATATTTAAGAAAGAAAGACACATGTCAGCTGATATTTGGTTTAAAAGTATCATGGCGAGTTCAGCATTTTTGTTTAAAGAGCCAAAGATGAGTTTGTGGGAAAGGGGAGAACTTTAGTTTTCTGAGTAATAGTGTCGTAATTGTAACTGTGAGTAAAGACAACTCAAATATGCAAAAATTCCTGTAAACACAACTTCAGGAGTGTAAATGAGAAGGGAAAACAAGCCCATTTTGTATCACTGATGTCTCTTGCCAGTCCCTATAGCCCAAGTTTCTCCATTCAATAAACAAATATGCAATACAACTCCAAAACAACACAACAGTTACACAGTCCCTCTGCCACTAAACTTGTGTTGTTAAATTACTTCGGGATGTAATAATATCCAAATCTCTCTGTATGATATTTATTACCATGTTTTGTGAACGTTTGCCAAATTGTGAATATACTACTTTTCCCCTACTTTTAAAATGCCTTGCCAAGTCTTTGGTTGTGTCATAATCCAAATAATTAAGATTTTAAAATGCTTAATAACAAACAAGCAAAGGATCATGGTCTATGTAGTTCACTCTGTTTTTTAGCTGTTGCTGCACCATATCAATGAATTTAAAGATCTTATATTACACAAATGTGACTCTTATGATGTTGTTTCCTCTTTAAAAACAGACCTGGAGTTGTATTCTGTTTCATTCACATATGATTGGTTAATCTTTTGAATTAAGTAAATGTCATGAAGCTGAAGTTTGAAGACTTTTCAAGTTAACAGCTATTTTTTCTTCAGTAGACAAGACATTTCCGGGCTGAAATTATCCAAATGACTCTAGTGAAGTTGTATGGAGTTTAAAAACATGGTGGAGTACTTCATGTACGACATTGCAATCATTCAGTTTGAGAGAAGAACTGATGCTCAATATGCAGGACAACAACATGTGTGAATGAAACAAAACACAACTCTAGGTCTGTTTGTGATGAAGAAACAATAATTAAATAAAAGTTAAAGTTAAAAATAAATAAGCAATGCTATGTTAAAGGTGCACTATGTCACTTTTTGTTTGGAGGTCCGTCATCTCCTTGTTTCTATGGATATATCTTTGCTCTGCCTGGAATGTCCCACAGTATGACATTAATGAATGGAATTAATGAACATTTAGGAAGTTGCAAGTGGTTTTATAGTTCAAAAATACCTACAAAAACAAACATCCTGACTATAAGCAAGGTTCCCTTTCCACAGATCTGACCTGTAACTTGGTCTGGTTTGGTCTCCATGATGATACCATACCACCATACTATGAAACATTCCAGACAAAGCAATAACATCTACATAGAGAAAAGTATTTGACGGATCCTCCACCAGAAAAGTTACACAATGCCCCTTTAAGTGTATATCAGCAAACAAGACATGAGCAATGTACCTGTCAGCGAAGAAATATCCGTGTGTTGATCTGTGGTGTCTGGTCACCGTGATGACAGATTCATCAGAGCATTGTTTCATAGACAGTTCGGAGTTGGAAGGCACAGAGCCAGAAGCAGCAGTACTTTCAACATTTAGAATGAGTCTGCCAGATGGCAAGTGGAGACAGCTCAGGGATATGTGCAACTATTACAACTATCACTCTGTCTCTTTGTAGTAAGAAAAATCTGATTTAAAATGGGAGCAGGCATTATTTTATATTAAATCAAGTTAAGTTAAAGCAGTGAACACTGGAGACTGTCTGACCTCAAGATTCAACTCACTTTTACAACATTTTCCAGATAGTGACACTTTAAAGGGTCAATATTACACTATTCTCTGATCTATGTTATAATGTTGTTTCCCCATCAAAAAACATACCTGGAATTTTGTTTTGTTTCATTAACATATATACTTATGCTCCACTGTGTTTAAACTCCATATGCCTTCACTAGAATCATTTCAGATGATTTCAGGAACTGCCAATTATTATTATGCCAATTATTACAAAACAAAAGGTAAAAAAAAAAAAAAGCTGATAACTTCAGACATCACAAGGTGGAACAGAGCACTGGAGATGTAGACAGACTAATAATGCAGAGAAAAAAATACAACTATGGGCATGTTTTTGATTAGGTAACAACATTCTAACATGACTTGAAGCTCACAAGACTTAATTTTGTGTAATATAGGCCCTGTAAGTTTCTAAAAAAAAAATACATATTGTTTTGTTTATACAGATTTTTCACAGTTACTAGGAGGTCACTACATATCCAGGTTTTCCTTTAGTTGATGAGGAGATAGACTCTAATGTGTCTATACGTCTGCCAAAACTAAACCGGCAGCAGAGGGGTAATTATAGGGCCATGACTCCAGCCCGAGGGCCCATACAAAGTAAGCATGGCCTCAGTGTATGCAGTTCAAAATACCAAGTAGTACCTTGTGTCAATTATATTCTCATTACAGGGATATTATGTATTGGCATTGTAAAGATGAGAAATGAGTGCTGTCATATAAAGCAAAGCAGAATGCATCCTACTAAAATGTGTCAAAAAAAAAGCATGCTCAGGGCATTGTTACAAAATGATACTGTCTGCTTCTTACTCAAGCTGCTTACACTTTTGTTCTCATGCCTGATTCCCCTCCAGACTTAAGATAATTCTCAAAACAAGACTCCAACTTCGTATGTGTTTAAAGTGTACCGCTGTTATGATCACTGAATGGACTTTCTCTTAATCAAAGTTAACAAGGCCATGTTGGTATAAAGCGCACAAGTTCCTTTTCATGTGCTTCAAAGTTGTTCAAAGTGGCTAAACAAAAACCCAGCGCTAATAAACAGTCAGATGTCCTCCATAATAATAAAGTGGACTTACCGTCTCTCCTCACGTTGCCTCTCATCACTCTGGCGTTGGACACCTGAGCCCTCGCCACTTCACTGGAAGAGCCCAACAACAAAAGCATCCACAGGTGGAGGAGCGCGGGTCCACTCATGACAACGGCACAACTTTAGTCCTCTCGAGGAGCGCCTTCACCACGTAATATCCGCGGATAAGTTCACTTTATTATACGAGATGTTGTGCCCAAATACGCACCGTGCCCGTTTGAAGTTATCCAGGGTAACGCTCCGTCAGATTAAGCGCAGGTGGGGAGTATTATAGCCCCGTTCATGGTCAGATATAAGATTACCGGCGCCCCGCGTCTTATCACTGCGCTCTCAATAAATTCTCTCCGGTCACTGGGAAATATCGCGCATATTTGTTCCACTTTATGTCAGACGTGTCTCGCACATAAACGCCTGTTACAAAGTCTTCGTCTCAAACTTTCTCCCAAATAAGTGACGCGCGCTCTCGCTGCTCTCGTGCGTGTGGACAAGATGCTGCGCGCGGGGAGAGGCGGACAGTTACGAGGAAATGCGCCAGAGCCCAGAGAGGAAACATTTGGGAGGAAAGCCCTGTTAGCGCGCGCAGAGACACGGGAGGTGTTATTGCACCAGGAGCCCGCGCGCGCGGAGGAAGAGGGCTTTTAGTGCGCTCTGCTGGGACACATTACGGAGAGGAAACAGCTGACACACGGCTCTGAAAGCACGTCTGCGGAGGAAGTTCACGCGTTCACGTTGAGCTAATAAAGAGTCTTGTAATTGATGACCAAATACGGGGCTGTGAAGTGGCCTGAATAATTTAACTCAGAAATAAACCAGCGAGTACTTTTGAGACACTGTAATTTAAAGGAGCACTAAACTTTCAGAGGGATGGTTCCACCTGCTTGTTTCTGTGTTATTGCTTTGCTTGGAATGTTGCACAGTACGGCATTAAACTATATCTATCCTAGTAGAGACAAGCATGCCACAAGGCCAAGTTACAGGTCACATTAGAGGAGCTGCTTATAATAAGAATGCACGTTTTTCAAAGAATTCTGACAATCCAGCCAAAGCAATGGAGACGAGCAGTCGAGAAAAGTTACATATAGTGCCCTTAACTTAATATAGTGTGAGTCAGTATCCTTGGTTCACAAAAGTTATTAACCTTCTGTCTGTAACACCACAGCACCATTTCAGCAGCTAGAAATTAGGTGAAGAAGTGGTCATATTTGTTTACAAGTTCTTAAAGGTGCATTGTGTAACTTTTATTGTAGAGGGTCCATAAAATTAGCCTGATTCATCAGCCAGTTTCACTTTGTGGAAAATGTCTGACCTTGCAGCATTAGGATTCATTCACTCGACAGTAGGCGGGTACTTTTTTAAATTTAACCAATCACTGCTATTTGGTCATGACATATGTAATGCGCCAAATCCCGTAGGAAGAAGGGCAATAACATCTTTCCCCTTAATAAAATTCAACAAACATTCTCTTTGTTCCGGATTTAAATCTTCGATCTCAGGAATCGTTGCCAACACAGAATGTATGGCTTCGTCTACATCCATCTCTCTTTGTTTACTGTTGTGCTGTACCACAAAAGGGACCCAGACAGGTGCTGGAGTTTGACGTCATGACTTCACAGCTTTTCGCTGATTAGCTGGTGCATGGTCTGCAACTTTCGGGGTTCTTGCAAACCGTGTAGTGTTTTCTGATTCCTGACCTGGTCACTGGAGAAAAATCCCATTTCCCCGTTTCCTCATGGAGATGTTATTACTTTGTCTGGAATGTTTCACACTCACAGTTTTTAAACCTTTCTATCATCACTGAAACCAAACTAGACCAAGTTACAGGTCAGATCTGTGGAAAGGTAACCCCACCCACCGTCAGAATGCCTCTTTTCCAGGTGTTTTTGAGCTATAAAGCCTCCTGTAATCTAAGGTAGAGCTGTTTAAAGTCATACTGTGGAATATTCCAGGCAGAGCAATGACATATCACCCCCATACAAAACGTTACATAGTGCACATTTACCAGTGAATAAACAGCTTTTTATTAAATCTATCTAAATAAACAGTGTGCACATCTGTGGTCTAAACATGTCTGCACATCCTTAAGTTTGCTTAGCAGAAATAGCTGTATTTGATTTATGTAAACCACAAAGAAACCAAAGCCGAAAACCAAAGCTTTACTGTTTAAATAGCCAACATTCCAAAGCCGTTTCACTGGATTATGATTGTGGTTTGATACTTACTGTAAAATCGAATACACTTACCACATTTTACCTCAACTTGCAACTTTTAACTTGTCTGAACAACTTTCCAGCCACTTTTAAGTAACCACCCTCAGATTTGGATGACCTTGCCAAGTTCTTGTTTCTGCTGGCAGTGCATCTTCGTATTATTGAGCTAACGGCTAATGAGCGATGCACACCTCCAAACTTAGCTCCACTCAGGGATGATACTGTTATTAATAGGGAGAGAGAGAGGGACAAAATGAATTAAAATGAAAAGCTATTTAGCCAGCCGCACTCCGCTTCAAAGACATATGCCTCGGGCCCATGAATTACTGAGAGCTTTTAAAGATCGCCACGAGCTACATATTTCTGCGGGTAAAGGCCACAATTGTATCCATGGTGATAATTTCCCCTGAACAAAAATGCAAAGCTGAACAAATGAGAAATTGTTAAAATGAAATTCAGCACAATGATAAATGACTAAACGCTCTTCTTTAAAGGGCCATTATAGGGCTTTTCTGGTGAGGGTCTGATACAAGTTTTAAAGGGACAGTCTGGAATTTTGTTCATAGGGCCTCATTTCCTAGTGAGCCAGAGTGTTGGAGACGTGTGGAGACACTTTTTTAAATATTCCATCCAGTCCTTGTATTTGCAGAGGTCGCTGGGCTAGGCTAGTGCATGTCAATGGCCATAGTTATCCTGTTACTAAAAACACAATCTTACACAACACCCACAAAGCACCTGAAGCAAATCTATTATTACACCGGACTGTCGATGTGAATGTCTGCGCCGACAGAATAATTTTTAAAGTAAAACCAACCTTGCATTTGAAAGATTTATGAGCAGCAGTCAGTTGTACTTCCTGGTAGAAAGCTTGGCAGCGGCGGACTGATATATGAGAAAATAGTCCCTCAACATGTGACGATTCATGTGATGCAAGGTTAGTTTTGTTTCAAACATTATTCTATTGACACAGACATTGACATTGACAGTCTGGTGTAATAACAGATTTGCTTTGGGTGCTTTGTAGAGTGGATAAGACTGTTTTTAGTGACAGGTGAACTATGGCCATTGACATGCACTAGCCTAGGCCCAGCGACCTCTGCAAATACAAGGACTGGGTGGAATATTTTTTTTTTAAAGTGTCTCCACACATCTCCAACATTCTGGCTAATTAGGAAATGAGGTCCTATGTCCAAAATTCCGGACTTTCCCTTTCAAGTGTTCCACACTATGACATTAAACTTATATAATATCAGATAGAGATTTTACAGACTTTATTGCACAATACCTGTGAGTGGGGTTGCCTCTCCACAGATCTGACCTGTAACTCAGCCTAGTAAATTCACCTTCTTGTATCCACAGAGGTAGATAGTTTAAAGGACTTGTTTTTTTAAAGGACTTTTTTTTATTTTTTATTTATGTTCTAATGTTGTTTCCTGGAGTTGTGTTTTGTTTCATTCACATGTTTAACACACAATCCCTGCAGATTTAGGCTGAGTTCTTCTCTCAAACAGAAAACACACTGAAAAAAATAACTTCTTTGGGTAGTTAAATATATTAAATCAGCTGTGGTATTTTTTATTTTTATTTTTTTACACTGAAATAGCATAATTCTGTGAGAACTACAACTTATTTAAAAGCAATGACAAAATTTATTTATTTTACTCATGTAGTAAAAGTATTGCATTTAATGAGTAAGTTCTACTGTATAATCAACCCATTTTAAAGGTAAAAAGAGTGTTCGTCCACTGATCCTAAGGTTGGCAGTTCGAATCCCGCTCAACATAAAATGAAACATCATTGATTGAGCGGTCAGATCCACTGACCCACAGGTTGGTGGTGCAATTCTAGCACCTGCAGATGAATGCTGTTGTTGTGTCCTTGGGCAAGACATTTAACCCACCTAGCCCCTAGTGTCTGTGTACACTGGTGTGTGAATGGGTGAGTGGGTCCTTGTTGTAAAGCGCTTTTGGTGCCTTGAATGTGGAAAAAGCGTTATATAAAAATGTGCCATTTATTATCAGTAAACACCATCAGAGCTATTCAATTAATTGACAATATTTTATATATTTTACTTAATTTGTTTACATAAATATGACTTCTAACTTAAAAAAAAAAAATAAAAATAATAAAAAATAATAATAATAATAATAATAATAATTACTCAGTAAATTCATGATTGTTAATCGTAATGGTAAGTGCATTTTACTTATACTGACAAGTATAAGTAAGCAGTAAAATTTACTTAAAAAGTGCTAGTGCAAATTGTTATGAGGGTTTTTTTTCCTAGTAAACCCTACAAGTTCTTTTTTTTAGTGCACTCCATCATGTTGTAATACAGGAAGTGCTAAACTTCCCCTTCACTAGACTCATTTGGATCATTTCAGCCTTGGAATTGCCAGTGTCAAAAGTTAAAAGATAGATGTTAACCTGAAAACTACAGCATCATGACATCACAAGGTGGAACAAAGCATTTTAAGCTTTGGAGATACAGACAGACTAATAATATAGGATTTCTCATACATGTGTGAATGATACAACTCCAGGTATGTTTTTAATGAGATAACAACATTATAACAACACTTAAACCTCACAAGGGTCACATTTGCGTAATACAGGACCTTTAAAGTGATACTGTGGAACATTCCAGCAAAGCAATTACATATCCATGAAGACCAGTAGGTATTGGTCCCTCCACTAGAACATGTACAGTGCACCTTTAAGCAGAAAGTACCTGTATCTACCTGAATAAAGAATCCAGTGTCCCCTAAGGCTGTGCGACTACAGCGTAAAGTATATATGTTATGATGGATATTGTACAGATATGACCCGGGGCAAACGTCAAGTACTAATTTAAAGTGTGCTGCTTCATCCTTATCACTGTCACTATGGGCTCTTCCTGAACTCAGAATGACAGTAGACAGTAGTAGTAGTATAGTTAAAGTTTGAGTACTTTTTCACTGAAACATAGCTGATATCATTATATTTAAGATTTTACTGCATTTCCTTGCTTGTAAAATGTTGCATTTTGGATTGAGTTTTCTGTGCTGATGACATACATATAGTTTTATTCAGAGTATTGTTTTTTGTACTTTTTCTAAACTTTTTTCCCCACAAAGTGTCACAAAACTGAAGCAAAAATATCATATTTACCACAGGTACTACCCAAAAATCAACCATATCAAGTAACAAATAGAAAATCATGTAAACCTGTCACTTTAAATACAATCAAGAGAAGAGTAATATTTGTTTTTAAAGGTGCACTATGTAACCTGATAGAGATACTATTGCATTGCTTGGAATGTTCCACAGTATGTTGTTGTGTTTTGTTTCATTCACCCACGTTTAACACACACATCCTTTATAGTTAAGCTCAAGTCTTCTCTCAAACTAGATAAC